GGAGGAGGAGGAGGAGGAGGCGGGGGAGGACAAGGAGGAGGAGGAGGAGGCGGACAAGGATGCTGATGCTGATGATTATGCTGATGATGATGATGATGATGATGATGCTGATTATTATGATGATGATGATGATGTTGATGATGCTGATGATGATGATGATGATGAGGAGCAGGAGGAGGAGGATTATGATGCTGCTGATGATGATGCTGATGATGCTGATGATGATGATGATGCTGATGATGCTGATGCTGATGCTGATGCTGATGATTATGATGATGATGATGTTGATGATGATGATGATGATGATGATGATGATGATGATGATGATGATGATGATGATGATGATGCTGCTGCTGCTGCTGCTGATGATGATGATGATGATGATGATGATGATGATCTGCTGCTGCTGATGATGAGGATGAGAAGGAGGAGACGGAGGGGAAGGAGCAGAAGGAGGAGGGGGGTGGGCGGAGGAGGAGGAGGTTGAGGAAAGGGAAGAGGAGGCGGAGGAGGGGGAGGAGGAGGATGACGAAGAGGAGGAGGAGGAGGTGGAGGAGGAGGAGGAGGAGGAGGAGGACGAGGACCAGTGTAAACCCAAGAGTCACCAACGATGTTGGAACAGGCCCTGCCTCCAAGCTCCCTCTTCACAGGCCCGTTCAACGGTTCATTTCGATGCCGGGAACTGCCTCGTTGGAAGATAGGCGTTTGAAGACCCTGAAGCATGCCAAAACATTGTTTCCGGAGTTCCAGCGCCACGGATCAACCTGATTGTTGCGTCTTGACGACCCTGAATTGCTCCAGAACGCCATTCCTGGGACTTCACACCGCGAAGCACCATAATTGTTGCACCCGCATGACCCTGGACCCTTCCCAAACACCATTTCGGGTGCGCTGATCACGGGAACCCGTGAAAGTCTTGTAAAAGTTATAAGCGAATGCGTGCGGCGCTAAGGCGAGAGCCACATGTTGAAAAGGAGCCGCCCTCCATCCGTGAAGCTCTTGCAGGATGTTCAAACACATGTGCGTGGCGCTAAGGCGAGAGCCACACTTTGAAAAGGCACCGCCCTTCATCCGTAAAGCTCTTGCATTTTTCTAAAAGAATGTGCGTGGCGCTAAAGCGAGAGCCACACTTTGAAAACGACCAGCCCTCCATCTGTGAAGCTGTCGCCAACTTGTGATCTCCAGGGTCACAAATGGTGAGGAAGTCTCAGGCGAATCGCCCGGCCCGCCCTAAACATTGGCCCCGGGGTGCGACAGGGAGAAGTTATGTATAAGGAAAAGGAATGGAGGAGGAGGAGGAGAAAGAGGAGGAGGAGGAGGAGGAGGAGGAGGAGGGGGGGGAAGGAGGAGGAGGCGGAGGAGAAGCAGAAGGAGAAGGGAGGAGGGAGGAGGAAGAGGGAGGAGGAGGAGGAGGAGGAGGAGGAGGAGGCGGAGGAGGAGGAGGAGGAGGAGGAGGAGGAGGAGGGAGGAGGGAGGAGGCAGGAGGCAGGAGGGAGGAGGGAGGAGGAAGAGGAGGAGGGAGGAGGAGGAGGAGGAGGACCAGTGTAAACCGAAGAGTCATCACTAATTGTTTGAAGATTCTGAAGCATGCTGAAACATTTTTTTCGGGATTCCAACGCCACGGATCAACCTGACTGTTGCGTCTTGACGATCCTGAATCGCTCCAGAACGCCATTCCTGGGACGTCAGCACCGCAAATCAACGGAACTGCTGCACCCTCATAAATCTGAATCCTTCCGAAGCACCATTGCTGGTACGTTAATCACGGGAACCCGTGAAAGTCTTGCAAACTCCAAGACGAATGTGCGTGGCGCTACGGCGAGAGTCACATTTTGAAAAGGAGCAGCCCTCAATCCGTGAAGCTCTTGCGCATGTTGAGAACGAATGTGTGCATTGCGCTGAAGCGAGAGCTACATGTTGAAACCACCCGCCCTCGATGCGTGAAATTATTGCCGCTGTTTCAAGCGAATGTGCGCGGCGCTGAGGCGAGCGCCACATTTTTTAAACGACCTGCCCTCCGTCTGTGAAGCTGTTGCCAATGTTTAAGTGCCAGCGTCATGCATGGTGAGGAAGTCGCCGGCGAGGCGCCAGGCCCGCCCGAAACATTGGCCCCGGGGTGCGACAGGGAGAATGTATGAAGGAACGGAGGAGAGAGGAGGAGAAGGAGGAGGAGGAGGAGGAGGAGGAGGAGGAGGAGGAGGAGGAGGACGAGGAGGAGGAGGAGGAGGAGGAGATGAGGCTGAGGAGGAGGAGGGGGAGGAGGAGGAGGAGGAGGAGGAGGAGGGAGGAGGAGGAGGAGGGGGGGGGGGAGGGGGGGAGGAGGGGGAGGAGGAGGGGGAGTAGGAGGAGGAGGAGGCGGGAGGAGTGAGGAGGAGGAGGAGGAGGAGGAGGAGGAGGAGGAGGAGGAGGAGGAGAGGAGGAGGAGGATGAGGAGGGGGGGGGGGAGGGGGGGGGAGGAGGGGGAGGAGGGGGTGGGGAGTAGGGGGGGAGGAGGAGGAGG